CATTTTTTAGCCTGGTATTGGAGGCTCCCTGCGCCTGGACTTCCCACCCTCCTTACCCAGCTGTCTCTCCCACTCCTTTCCTCTACAGGCTTCCACATAGTTTCCACATCACTGAAGCTGAACGAATTAAGCCACCATTTGATTTTCTCTGAATGCAGCTTGTGTTTCCCACTGTCATGCTTTGGCTAAAGGTGTTCAGTCTGGGTGGGACTTTCCTCTCCTGCCATTTAGCTTTTCAGGACTATTTAATCCATCCACATACGGCCTCCCCTGCGCCTTTGATGCTTGCTTCTGCTGGATGGAGTCTTCACCGTGTTAGAAAACCTGCAGCTTAAAAACAACAAAAACCTTTCTTACAACACACCATTACATTATTTACTTTAACGGTGTGCTTTCTACAGATGGTGAGGAGCAAGCCAAAAGTCTGAATATGAGATGTTTAGCAAATAATGGAATGAATATATGTGTATGTAACATGATTGACTTCACAATCAGTTATCCTATCAAGTAGGTTATTTCTATGTAACTTTAGTCAGTTTAAGGACAGTCTTGTAGACTACTGTGTGAGCTAAAAACTCTCAAAATGTACATTGCTATGTTTTTTATGTGACCTAGCCTGTAACCTCTAACCCAGCATGTGCTTTGTATGACCTATGAACCAACAGTGATTTTTTTTTAACATTTTAAAAGAATTTGAAAGAGAAAACAAAGAAGGTTGTGTCAGAGATATGACAGATACCTGCAAAGCTGAAAACATGGCTTTTTAGTACCCCTCCCTGTCCTAGTACTAGGGATTGTACTTGGGGACTCATCTACCACTGAACCTCAGAAATACTCTCTGTCCCTTTATGGAAAAGTTCACTGACCGCTGATCTAGGAATACACCTGATTTGCCTGGAGTCATGCTATACACTGGAGAGGTAATACTGCTTCCCTGAACAGTTTAACAGGCCCTCTAGACTGGAGGCGATTCCCTTCCTTGGAAAAGAATCATTAGGCCTGGTTTCAGAAGAGTTTTGAGTGACATGCAAATCTTTCCTGGGCTCTTCGGCACTTTGGCAGTATCTCACATAGATAACCAGATCCAAATGAGCCATTTCTTTCCATTATAAGCCTTCATCAGTGCCCTGTAGGATCGCACAGCTGGTGAAGGTAGATGCCATTCAGAGCAAGGCTCTTAGCATGTTTGAAGAATGTTAATTGCTAAATGAGGGCTGAAGCTAGAGGGCTTCATAATGTCCTCAAGCTGCCTTAAATGTACACAGACCCAGAATTTTAGTATTGAAAAAGGTCTGAGAGCATCAAGTTTAGCATGGCCCTTAAGAACAGGGACCGAGAGCCAGACTGTATGTCTCTTCCACTTAATCCTCCCTGTGTCTCAGTTTCCTCACCTTTAAAGTGGGGACAAGAATAGCTTGCGGGCTTGTGAGTGTTATTAACAAATACTGAACATTTACACACTAACACTTGAATGATAATGTTGACATGAGAAACACAGACCTCCCTTGCATACTGCAAATGTTCATAAGCATTCATGTTTTATTAACGTTAGTAATAGTCCTCTCATAGTGAAAGAAATAGCAGGCTGCAGGTTTATAGTTTAGCGCCCTTTCCCTGTTAATACGCATTGCTTTTAGCTACGTGCTTAATAGATGTGGATTTTAAAATAGTTTATCATTTTATCTTGTGTGCGTCTGTATGATGTATGTGTCTGTGTTCATATGGATGCCAGAAACTGTCCAGTGTCATCCTCAGTCACTTTCCACCTCATTTTTTGAGGCAAGGTTTCTCACCAGACCTGATACTCTCAGCTAGGCTGACCAGTGAGCCCCAGGGATCCTCCTCCTCCACTTCCCCAGTGCTGGTAATACAGGTGCATGCAGTAAAACAAGAAAACTGGTACACCATCATTTTGTAACTAGTTAATAAGATTGTCTCCTGTCTGCCCTCTTTCTCATCATCTGACATTATTTCATGACCATCTTTTGTTTGCTTGTTTGTTGGTTGGTTGGTTGGTTGGTTGGAGACTGGGTCTCACTTTATTGCCCTGGCTGGCCTCCAACTCACAGAGATCTACCTGCCTTTGCCTCCCCACTGAGATTAAAGGCCACCATGCCCACTGTCCTGCTGCTGCTCTGCCTCCTCCTCCTCTTCCTCCCCCTCCTCCTCTTCTTTTTCTTCTTCTTTTAAATTGAGATGAAGTTCATGCAACCACTACCTCTCAAGTTGAAAAATATTTTTGTCATGCTAAAGACTGGAGAGATGGCTCAAATATTAGACACTTCCTGCTCTTACAGAGAACCTGAGTTGGGGTTCCCACCACCCAAGCTGAGCAGTTCACAACTGCTTATAACTCCAACTCCAGAGGATCTGATACCCTCTTATGGCTTCCACGAGTATCTTCACTCAAGTGCACATACCCATGCATAGACAAACATACACATAAAAATACAAATAGAGCTGGGCATGGTAGCACATGCCTTTAATTCCAGCACTCAGGAGGCAGAAGGCAGGCAGATCTCTGTGAGATCAAGGCCAGCTGGGGTCACAGGGAGACCTTCTCAAAGGAAAGGGAAGGGAAGGGGAAGGGGAAGGGAAGGGAGAGGGGAGGGGAGGGAAGGGAAAGGGAAGGGAGGAAGGGAAGAAGGGGGAAGGGAAAGGAAAAGAAAGAAATGAAATAATGAAATGAAATAGAAATAAAAAAATAGACATGAAATAAATAAATTAGGTAAAATAGAAATACAACAGATAAATCCTTAAGAAAACTTGGTACACCATATTGCCTTCCTCCAACCCCCTGGCAAACACCAAATCTACTTCCCATCTCTATGGATTTACTTATTCTAGGTATTCCACATGGGGTCATAAAGTATGTGCTCTTTTATGTCTAGCTTCTTTCCTATAGCTTGTTTTTGTATTTTCATGTAGAATATCTCAGTACTTCATTTATTTGAGGATCGAGTCATACTTCATTGTGTGTGTACCTCACTTTATTCATTTGCCCATGAGGGACACCCAGGGGATTCTACCTTTGATTGATGTCAGAACAGTGCTAGCATAATATTTGTGTGCACATTTGTTTCAGTGCCTGTGTTCCATTTTTTTCAGATAGGAACCTAGGAGTAAAATTGCTGTCATTCTGTAATTCTAGGTTTTAACTTTTTGAGGAATTGCTAAATGTTTTTACATTCCTAACATTGATATATAAAGGCTCTAATTTTTGGCCAGTGTAGGCCTTATGATGATGATGATGATGATGATGATGATGATGATTACTAACTCGTGATAGCCATCCTAGTGAGAATGAAGTAATATTTTATTGTAGTTTCCTTTGCATTTTTCTGATGACCAGTGATGCTGAGTATCTAACGTGCTTGTTGGCCTTTTGCCCACCTTCTTTGCAGAAATGCGCCTTCCAGTTCTTTGCCCATTTTAAAATTCAGTTGTCATTTTGCTGTTAAATTGTAACATATTTTGGATATTAGGCTTTTATTAGATATATGATAAATGAAATATTTTCTATCATTCTGTGTTTTTCCCTATATTGTAGTGTCCTTTAATGAACAAAAGTTTTTAATTTTAGTGAAGTCCAGTTTATCAATTACTTCTTTTGTTGAGCATGCTTTCAGTGTCATATCTCAGAATCCATTAGCTAATCCACTTATGTAGATTCACCTCTGTGTTTTTGGTAGTCTTATGATTACTGATTAACCTTTCTATGTGTTACAAGTCTGTTTAGATTATCTGTTTCTTCTTGAGTCATTTTGGGTAGCTAAGTGTTCCTAGGAATTTTAACTTTTTCCAGGAACTTCCATGTGCAATTCCATAGTGGCTGCACTAATATACTTTCCTTCAAGAAGTGTATAAAGGTTCATTTCCCCACCATATCCTTGCCAGGATTTATTATTGTAGCCACACAATTTTTAAAAAAATGCTTGTACTACCTGGCATATTGACACATGCCTTTAATCCCAACACTTGAGAGGCAGAGGCAGAGGAGCAGGTGGATCCCTATGAGAATGAAACCAGCCTGGTCTACATAGCAAGTTTTTGGCCACGGGGGCTACAGGGAGACCCTGTCTCAAAAAGACCTAAAAAAAAAAAAAGTTTGTGCTATAGTAGACACTTAAGTAGTGTTTATCATGTACTTTATGAATATTAATCTATAACATTTGTGAGGTAAATATTACTGTCATTTCTGTGTTACAGATGAAGAAATCAGTGTAGTTGTAAAATTTTGATGGTTTGTTTATTTATTTTATTTATTTATTTATTTATTTATTTATTTATTTATTTATTTATTTATTTATTTATTTATTATGTCTTTTTGAGACAGAGTCTTCCTGTAGTCACAGCTGGCCTGGAATGCACAAAGACCCTCCTGCCTCTGCCTCCCAAATGCTGGGATTAAAGGCGTGCACCATCACACCTGGCTGGTCTTTTTAATTTTTTCGTCAGGGTCTCATGTAACTAAGGATGACCTTGAACTTCTGATTCTCTTGACTCTACCTCCTAGGTACTGGGATTATAAATATACACTACCACATCTAGTTTTGTGGGTGTTGATGATGGAACCCACGGCTTCACATATCTTGTTTGTATGCTGTTCTGAGTGGAAATACTTGTTTCTTATATTTCTGGTCTAGTAGAATGTAGAATTCTGCAAAATCCTTAGGTATGGTGGCTAGCATGGTTGAAGTAATAATGGTGCTCTTCTTCAATCATATATTAAAAAGACTCCTCCCAGAGTTTCCCTGGGAAGTTCATCACAATTTATAATGGAAAACATTTTTTCCTATGGGAAACTGAGGAAAAAAGATTTTAAATTCACTTGTTTGGAAGGTTAGACTCCATCTTTATGGAAATTCTACTTACCTTTTGGAAATCTCTAACACTTGAAATTTACCCAGGTGTTTATAAGTCATATTCTTAGAAAGGCAATCATAATTGATCTGTGTACAGGTTTCATTTTGATTACTATCCTGATTAATGTCTTTCAGGGTCACTTAAATGTACAGAAGAACATTCTTCAGGTGGATCAGAACTGCGTTCGCAATTCTTACGATGTCTTCTCTTTGCTGAGGTAAGAAACTTCTTAGAGCCTCTTGTCTTCCGGAGAACCTCTTGTGCATTTGTGGTGGTTCAGTGTGATAGCGTGTGAGGAGTTTGAGGCGCTCTGACTCAGGCTTAGCATTTTTTAGTGAAAGCCTCATCAATTTTGTAGCTATAGTAATTTAAGTTTGTCTGTTTCACAAAGCCTTTGAACAACCATTTCCTCTCTGGACAGTGGGAAAGCAGTTGGAAGCCAGTGATCTTAAAATGGGACATGAGTGACTTGCTGGCGTTCTGTACTGAAAAGTGGGACACCAGAGCTGCCCAGGACAGTCTTCCCAAGAATCTTAACAACCACACCTTCTCTACGGGAGTGTGTGTTCCCCCTCACCCTCAGCCTTGGACATGGTGGGGGCTTAGAGTTCTGACTTGCTCTTCATCTGAAAAGACTCATGCAGGGCAGGGCAAGGAAGCTTTGTAGGAATCTAGTGCTCAGAGTCTTAAAAGCCTCAGCTCCATATGTTTATGATGTTTGGGCTTAATTTTGAAAGATATAAAAATTGGGCTTGAATTTTACATGGGATCCTAAGGCCATGTTCCCAGGGGGCAAGCTACCAAAGCCATGCATTTCAAAATCAAGTTAGCAGTGACACTCAGCCTTTGCCCCCCATCAGACAGATTATTCATTGAAATTTGATTTGAGCAGTGTTTTTCTGATGTTTATAGAACACATCATAAATTTCAGACCATTAGCTATCCTCAGTAGATCTTCCAGAGGAAGAGTCCAGAAGGTTTTGTGAAGAATGGTTAGTTTATAAACATTTTACAGTTGGCCTTTCCTTTGTGAAATTTGAATCCTGTATATGAGGACATAGAGTTTGGTTACATGGTTTGTATAAATTACTCTTCAGGGACAGTGATTCTAAAGTAAAGACAGGGTCTCCCTGTAGCCCCAGCTAGCTTGGAACTCACTATATAGACGAGGCTGGCCTTCATCTCACAGAGATCTATATGCCGTGTGCCACCACTTCTGGGAGTTTGATAATTTTTAATTCATATGTGAGAGCCATCTTCGCTTTGACCACTTTGGATAGGCAGGATTTATTAACTAGGGAGGGAGGGGAGATAGAAAGCACGTAAATAAACATGTTTTTTGAGCATATTGAGTTTGGGACAGGTGAAGTAGCCAATAGAGGAATGTCCAGGTATAGCTTGAACTATGAATAAGCTCCAAGCATTTCCTTAGTAAAGTAATTGTAAGATATAATTATTTTAAGGATATTTTCTAAGTAGGAGAATGTGCGATCTTATTAGAGAAGAAGAAAGAAGTCCAGAATCAGGGAGAAGAGAAGGATAGTGCAGCATCATAGAAAAAATGATAGTTTCAAGAATTGGCAAGCTCCGAGGTCTTCAGTACAGGAGGTAAAGGGATGCTGTGCAATAGGCAATAGTGACAGGGCTGGGGGAGTAGCTCGGTGGAAAAGCACTGACCTACCTACCATGTGCCAGGTCCTGTGTTCAGTCCCTAGCACCACAGAAATAAAAAGAGAATGATTTTTGACCTGACCCTGCTTCTGATTGTCCCTATATATCCTAATCATTTAACTTCTCTGATTCTCACGACAGAAGTCGTGGTGTGTGGGGTTGTGTCATTTTCAAGTGTTTTCATGGCTACTATTTTATTTTCTTAGATATTTCTTATGTTCAGACATTAGGGGTTGTAGTCTTTGTCTTAAGCATAGAAGCTGGAACCAAGACGTGTTGAATGATTTATCTCTCTAAGGGCACATGACAAGGGAAACCCAGACTGGTTTTGATGAGGGTATTCTTTCCCTTTGTAAATGCAAAACCATCAGGCTAATTTGGTAGTTAATTATTTAACATAGATTTTTTTTTAAAAAAACAATGATTTTGTTCGTCAGGGTTTGATTTCTAGAGTAAGAGCCAGGTTCCTCAGATATGTTAGTGATCCAAATTGCTTTATTAACAGTGGATTTGAGCTGGGTGTGGTGGCATAGATCACCTCGAGGCCACAGCAGGAGGATCACAAGTTCCAAATTGGCCTCGGCTACATAGTGAGACCCTGTCTAATCAAAACAAATAAAACCCATGGTTGATAATTCATTTCTGGTTAATAACACAGATCTACTTTTGTGGCACGTGTGTGCTGGGTGGGTGTGGCCTGTAGAGGCCAGGGCAAGGCATGGGGTGTCCTCCATCACTCTGCATTATTCTTAGGAGACAGGCTCTCGCTGTGCCTATACCTTGCCATTTCAGCTAGGCCAGGTAACAGAGCTCTTGGGATTCTCCTGTCTCCACCCCTCAGTGCTGGGGTGATAGGCATGTGTAGCCATGACCAGACTGCGTGGGTTCTGGAGCCTCGAGCTCAGGTCCCGATGCTCTTACCCACTACGCAATTGCCCCAGCCCCCAGCTCCACTTTCTCTGAGTCAGATTAAGTGCCTGTTTATCAATTGGATTACCTGAACAGAGGGAATTATCCTGCAACTCGAAACTTTAAATTGTACTTGTCAAAGTTAGTAAATCATGTGCTCTAATTCTCTCAGGCAGTAACAAGTATACCTCACCTGCTTTATTAGAAGGGCCCTTTTCCCATAGGCTTTTTTTTCCCTGTGGCAGATGTGTTATGCTTACAGGGAAACTGTGTCTCACTTAAACTGCTGTTCATTATTTCTTTTCTTTATTTAATCAACACTGTCCCTGGATGGGAACATTTAAAATATATGTATTTTTTCTTTTCCTGGCTATTTCTTGGTTTATAACATTTTTACAGCTTTGTCTATAATTTTATTTGAAACACACAGAGTCTAAAGCCAGGCATGGTGATACAACCTTGTAATTCTAACACCTAGGACGTACAGGCAGGTGGACCAGGAGTTCATGGTCGTTCTTGGCTGCACGTACAATTCAAGGCCAACTTGGGCTACATGAGATCCTGTCTTATGAAACAATAACAACAAAAAGCCCATACATTCTGCATACCTTAGTAGCCCTTATCTCTAGAAGTCTCCTGATTCTGTCTTTTTAAGAATATATTCTAATTAATATATTCATTGCCCAGGCATAGTGGTACTCATCTGTCCTAAAACTTGGTAGACTGAGGCAAGATGGTTTCAGGTTTGAGGCCAAAACCAGGACTATACAACAATTTTCAGGCCAGCTTGGGCTGTACAGTGAGATCTCGTCTCAAAATATTTTTTAAATAAAAATAAATTTAAAAAAATTAATTGTACAGTTGACCTCCTAGAATACAAAAGTATTTTGCTTGTTAGTGTCACAGAAAAATAGGAAACCTTGAAGTTGGAAAGTGAAGACTTTGGAACACCCAAACCCGGGCATGCACCAAAAGTCAGATGTTGTTTATATGGTCATATAAGAAAACAGTTACCCAAGGCTTTATTCAGATATTTGGTTCATAGTTAAGAATGTTTTGGTGTTAGCCGGGCTTGGTGGTGCACGCCTTTAATCCCAGCACTCCGGAGGCAGAGGCAGGAGGATCTCTGTGAGTTCAAGGCCAGCCTGGTCTACATAGTGAGTTCCAGGACAGCTGAGACCAGGGAGACCCTGTCTCAAAAAGACCAAAAAAAAAAAAGAATGTTTTGGGGTTGCCAAAGCAGTAGCAGAGCTTTCCAAATTTACTGTTAGTGTGTGATGGGAAGTAGTTGAACTTTTTCTTTAGCCCTTGCAAATGATTGGATTAAAAGATTGTTTTCTGGTAAACAATTAGGAGGCATTTTGCTCATTTTTAATACTTAATGATGTTCACCACAAGGTGTCAATGTTGTTCTTTAACTGACATTTGAAATTTAATTTACTTTCCAATTTGGGAGTGAAAAAAAACTGGTGAGAGGGGTTCGATGGAGTATGAAGTGTCATGAAGTGCTGTTAAATAAGCAGTTACGTTAAAAAAAAAACTACCACTCTTTCTTGTTTGAGAAGTAGAGGCTTATTAGGTAACTTTTTTTCTCTTACCTTGTGTTTGTTTCCTCCTCCTTAAAAAATCTTGCTGGTAATAACAAGTTACTGAATGGTTCTAAGAGAGGCTATGCCTTTGAGATTTGCCCTGTAGAGTTCTAACTGGGTGACAGGGTGGGATAGACCAGAGGGATGAGACTGGAGTCAAGGGTTTGTTTCTTCTTGCTGCTGTGTGAGGTGGAAAGGGTTGGTGTTTTTTTTTGTTTGTTTGTTTTTTTAAATGTTAACCTGTCTCCACCCCCAGCATTGGGGTTACAGGCGAACAACTATGCCCAGCTTTTCCATGGGTATTGGGGACTCTTAAGTTTAGACCCTCAGTTTTGCACAGCAAATGCCCTTACCCACTGAACCTACATGGTAGTTCACTAAACAATTCTTTACACACTTCTACATGCTTAAAAGTGTTCATAATAAAATGTTTTAGAGGAAAAAAAATTCATTTTTTTCCTGGATGTTGTTGCACATGCCTTTAATCACAGCACCCAGAAGGCAGAGGCACGCAGATCTCTGTGTGATTGAGGTCTGCCTGGCCTGTATAGCATGTTCTAGGCCAGCTAGGAGACAGGCCTGGTCATAAACAAAACAACCCCCAAAACATTTTTCATGTGTTTGTCCTTGCTCACTAATGGCATCAGAGCTGTTTTTTTTCCTGACTTTGTTGGATGGAGCCCTTGTTGCCTATACCTGACCCCTGCAGGACTTCTTTTTCCTGTCAGCTTGCTTTTGCTACCACAGCTTCAACCAGCCTGTCCAAATACCAGGAGCTCTGGAACCTGGATTTCTAGTTCCTGTCTTTCTTGAATTTCCAGCCTGCATTTTCCCAGGCTCTTGGCATTTACATACATATCCTGAGAAGCCTCAGCCCACCAAGGCTAGAGCTGCTTGCTGGCTGGCCTCCCCTCCTCTCCTCTTCTCTCCTCTCCATCCCCCCAACCAGGCTCTGGAAATCTGGTTATTTTGGTTTCTCTCACTCTTTTCCTTCTGTGAGGGGTTCTGTTGGTTTTAAGTCCCCTTGAATCCTTGCTGAGCTTGTGTA